AGATGTGTGTCCGCGCAAAACGGCGGCGATAAAATTTCTTTTGGTGAATACTTCTCTTACAATGAAATAATTATTAGATATTATTATTAGTTATTATGTAATAAAAATAGATCATTTTTAAAAAAATATTTATGTTTAGACCTTATATTTATATCGAGTGTTTATATATTATTAAGAAATAAAAATTAATTTATATGTTAGAATTTAGTATTTTAAAAATGTCAATTAGCTCCAAATAAAATTTCTTAATGACATTCCTTAATTCATTTTTCAAACTTTTGGTAAGTATTAAACATTTTTTTATCCATAATCGATTTGTACAAAAAACTTTGTATCTTATACCTCTTAAGATTCAATATATGATTAATATGTTTTATATATATATATACACACACACACACACACACTAGCCGTTTACCCGCACCAAGCGACGGGTGTGACAATGGTGGTTGAATGCTGAAAGATAAATTAAACCCTAAAAATGGAAACGTCCGCGATATACATCCAAAATTTGTGAACAGAAATTGCGAGATTTGAGGAAATACGGAGATAAGGAATGAACATGATCAAAATAGCCTAAGAATAGATTATAAGAGATTTGACCTTTTCAACTGTTGACCATATGTACTCTACTCTTTTTGTAATGCATAAATTGATTGTACAAATGCATTGTATGTTTGTACAACTTAAAATTCAACATTTGACCAAAAATGCTTTATAAGGTATTTAAGATATATATATATATATATATATATATATATATATATATATATATATATATATATAGAGAGAGAGAGAGAGAGAGAGAGAGAGTTATGTTCAAATGTTTCTAATATTTGTTGTGTGCATTTAGGATTGATTCTAAACCAATTATTTTAGTTATTTTAAGAAAATAATTAATGTATATTAAATGCTGAAGATTTAATTAATACTCATTATATTTTCAACATTTAATATTATTAATAATTATTTTTTTAAAATAACGGAAATGATTGATTGATTCATAATTAATCATACATGCACACAATAGATACTTAGAACAAAATAACCTATACATATATATATATATATATATATATATATATATATATATATATATATATATATATATATATATATATATATATATATATATATATATATATTACCGAACTTGACTAAATCGTCCCAAGACGGGCTAGGGTTAGCATCTATTTTAACATAACCATAGAAAATAATTTTCGTAGCACATTTTTTTCTCCATTGATATATATATATATATATATATATATATATATATATATATATATATATATATATATATATATATATATATATATATATATATATATATATTATATTTGATTATTTAACACAAAGAATAATTTATGAAAATTAATATCTACTATAATAAATGAAGGTTTTTTTGCCACATGTCATCTTCTCCTTCATTTGGATACTTGGCATTTTCTAAAATTTTTAAATTTTCTATTTTCCACTTATCATTTTATTAGATTTTTCATTTTATTAAATTAAAATTCCAAATTTAATGTGTAATGTAATATATATGTAAAGTATTTATTAGAAAGGGTTTATATATGTAATGTATTTAATACATTAAAGTTTCAATAATTTTAATAATTCAATTTTTTTTTTCATTTTTCTTATAAATTCAAACTTTTCAAATTGTTAAAATTTCATATTTTTTTTTAATTAAACCCATGTAATACATGGGTCTCACACCTAGTTCTCTAAATATACAATGCTCGCTTTCATATTGGTCCTCTTGGTCTTTGATTTTAAAAAACGTGTCTCCCTATTGGATAATATAATTGTCTTCGTATTCCTCTAAATCAATATACGAGGCATTGATAAATCTTCTATAATTTCTTCTTCTACTATGTCATATTTGATGCTGTTAAGATCAAATGATAGGAGGTCTTGTTTGCATTCCACTCCATCCAAGTGCTAGTTTCCGAGTTTTAGTAAATAAAAGAAAAGAAAGGAAAAACAAGTAAGGAAAGAAAAAAAGAAGAAGGAAATATATATATATATATATATATATATATATATATATATATATATATATATATATATATATATATATTTTGTGTTTCCGAGTTTGAGAGAAGTGATAAGAAAATTAAACTTTTTGTCCTTACAAATCAGAATGAAAGTTAGGAGGAAAAATAACTACTTCATTTTCTTTCACTTCATTTTTTTAATGAAACTCGAAAACACCAATTTGTTTTACTTTTTTTTTTTTTTTTTTTTGCATTTCTACTAATTTCTTTTCCTTTTCTTTCGTTAGGTTGACTCGAGAATAAGATGTTAAGCAAATCAAACCTTCACGGATTACAGTGTAGGTTTTGTTTTCCACGTCAATATAAATAGTCACTAAGGTGCTGTTTGTTTTTTTAAAAAAACATTTTCGAACCACTTTCTGCTGCGCGACACAACACACGCGCAACATTTTCTCTTTCGCAGCAGTTTGTTTTTTTGGAAGACTCCAGACTGCAAAACCTCTACGCGTGTGTTGCGTGGCGCAACAATTGACTTACCTCTTCAAACCTCTTCAGCTTTCATTTTTTTGATTTGTTTTTTTTTAGAATTTTGGTATAACTTATTTTTTTTTACTTTTTTTTATATAAAAAACTTAGATTTTTTAAAACTTTTATTTACGGATTTGATACAATTTCTTATTATAGTCTCTACAAATTTTGTTGAACTTGATTTTTTTAAAAAAACTTTAATTTTTTTTTATCATTTCTGTTAGTAATATTTTCAGTTTCAATTTTTTTTTTTTTTTTTTTTAACGTGTGGAATTTTTTACGAACTTTGTAGACATCTATTGTAATTCTTTCTTAATTTTTATTATTATTATTTTTATGTTTTTTAAAAATAGTTTTTTTTTAGAATAAAGTTGTTAGCTTCTTTTATTTTTTTGTAATTTTTTTAAGCTTTATATTTTTGTTTTTTTACATGTTCTTTTTAGTACTCTTTCAATGTTTTAAGACTAGAATTATTTAAATTTCGGTGTTGAAAACTATTTTCAGTTTATAAAATTAGTTTATTTAAATTTCAGTTTACTGCAGCAGTCTGCAGATTTTAAAAAACAAACATGTTTTTTTCTTATGGACTGCAGCCGTTTGTTCCACCTTTTCTGCTACAAATGATTGCAGAAGTGGTCCGCAGACTTCACGAATTTTCGCTTGGAAAAAACAAACAACACCTAACATTTTAAAATAAATTTGAAGTCCTAGTAAAATTTTGGATGATTATTAGTAAATCATGTGTTATGACGACTACCAAATTCACAAATAACAAATTCTTTGTTCTTTTTCTTTCTACAATGCCAAAATACCTACGATTTCTCAAATCTCAATACAAATAAATATACTTTTTTTTTAAAAACTTCATATAGTTTCCTAACTCGATTTTAGAGTTGTTGGTTTGTACGTTGATGCTCTTGAACCCCCAAGGTCGTGTATATTGGTAGTGATTCAATAATTGTGACTATACATACGCTAAATAAGTTTGTAAACATATTCTTAAATTTTATTATTTGTTATTTTGTGGAAATGTATATGGGGTCCTCCTCGGTTAGGTATATGACATCAATTATATCATTATTAAAACTTTGACACCATTAACACTTATTATTGGACTCAAAACTAAAATACATGTAAGTGGGGCGACTATTTGAAATGTTTTATAATTTTGTTATTAGTTCTGACGCAATAATAATGATTTTTCAATTGAAAATATAGTTCTTTTATATTTTTCTAAATTTTTTGTAAATGAAAAAAAAATAAACAGGAGGTTAAAGTGTCCACGTAGGTATACCATACAGAAGTATATATATAGAACAATAGAAGTAAACTGCGCTTTCCTAAAGTAGATAGGAAAAATATTGTTTGAGGTTGAGCGAATAATCCGACAAGTGTGCTCGTGGTTTATGAACAGTTCCTAGGTCCCATCTGAGTTAACCCAAAAGGGAATGAGTTCCTTCTACCATTTTTTTTTTTTGGTTCTTTAATTCTTTTGACATTTGTAAGAGTTATCTAGATTTTTGTAACATGTAATTAACATTAAAAAAGAGAAAATACCGGGTATAGATAAAAAAAGAAGGGAAATTTAAAAATTTAGTCACAATTTTTTTTTTCCAGCTATAGACATACATTCCGTAGAGGACCCTCCGCGGATACGGGTATTTTTGTAATTTACCTCCGCGGAGAGGGCCATTTTTGGTATTTCACCTTCATCTTTCCCACAAAACCGACCCATCCTCTTTGGTCCCCCCACTGGTCCCTCATTCCTCGTTTACGAAGACGTGTCTCCGCATTCCCCCATTCCACCGGCCGTTCCGACAGCACTCTGGCGCCCGATTCCGACAGCACTCCGGCGACCGATGAAGACAACGAAACTGGCGACCACTATTGACTCCCGACAATAGAAATGGAGGAGAATCTCCCCAATATTTTGAGTGACGGTTTAGGCTCCCGGGTAATTGTCACTTTCCCTTGTTTAGATTAATGTAGTATATGTTAGGAAATTGTTGAAAACCGGTTAGATTAAACTGAATTCGCAAAAAAATGGATGAAATATGGGTTTAGGGTTCGACGGTGGTCAAGATCCATTCCGCGGAGGATTATATCATTCCGCGGAAGACCCTCCGCGGACTGAACCAATGCTCCACGAAGTATAGATGAATTAGCCGAGGGTGGAGGTCTATCCGCAGAGGATTCTCCGTGGAATGACCTAAATCCTCCGCAGAGGGAACCAACCCTCCATGAAAATAAATAAAAGACGCTCCGCGGAGGGTGAAGGTCTATCCACAGAGTCTTCTCTGCGGAATGACGTATGACCTCCGCGGAATAACCTTAATTTTGTAAATTATATTTTTTTTTATGTTTCTGTTATATGAAATTAAATTTAAATATTATGTTTTGCAGCACTTAGACCTGAATCAAAAAGTTGATTTAACTTTAAAAGGTGTGGTGGGTACCATGATACCATCATTAATAAGTATTTTCCGCGGCTAACACAATCACAACGACAATTATTCGAAGCTTCGCCGTTTGGAATATTTTTTGGGATGCATATCCCACATGGTGATCCGTTACTTGTGCATCTGATGATGTTGCACGAAGTAAGGACACAAGAAGTATTTGAAATGGGGAGGTTTTTATTTGATATAGAAGGGAGGCATTTGGAATTTGGTGAAACGGAATATATTCTCTTGTTGCTTTAAGACTCAAAGCAAAAATTAGTTGTTGTTTGTTGTCATATGTTTGACGAACAAACATATCATCATTTGGACCTAAACTGTGAAATGGTCCGGGTTCAAGAATAGGATCAGGACAATCAGGTATGGGAGGCATACCGTAAAATATGTCTGAAGCTTTTTTCCCGTGTGTGAACTCATCTTCTGACCATCCTTCATTTGACTCTTCACCTTCTGAGAAAGTTTTGTCAGTCAGTTTTCCAAACTCATATAAATTTTTTTCTTCAACTGTATTCAGTGCCACAGTTTCTTCTTCTGGACAATCTTCAACAATATCAGATACAATGTTTTCAACATTGTATGGTACAACTTTCTCAGCCGCTTCTGTCTGTTCGACCAATCCCTGAAACACCTCTAAATACAAATGCACAATCTCCTTCGTTTCAGAAATTACATTTCTGAGTTGATGAACATCTGCTTCATCTAAAATATTCATCACATACCCATAAACTGGGTGTTGAAATGACAATGATATATTACTATTGAACACCTTAGCCTTACTTTTGACCAAATCAAACAATATTCGACAATCAAAATTAGGCGGAAGCAGTAAACCGAAGTTGTTTAACTTTGGTCTAACGTAGGTGTTAATCCCATTAGTTATCTGCCAAAAACCTCCAGTACATAAAATAACAAAACTCATATTTTGTGTTAAAAATCAAATGAAAACGAATTGATCTATCGACCAAAATGAAACAAACTTTTAAAAAAAAAACTTTTCTATCAAAAAAGTGTTCAAAATCCGCTCCAACCACCCACTTCGCGGAGGAATTACTCTCTCCGCGGAGCTCCGCGTCCCCCTTTCCGCGGAGCCATTTAAGATTTCCAACTGCTTCCTCCGCGGAGGCTTCACTCTCTCCGCGGAGCTTCGCATCGACATCTCCGCGGGGTATTTACGAGATCCAATCAGCTATCTCCGCGGAGGTTATATTGAATCCGCATAACCGTTTCCGCGGAGCATGCTTAAAAAGGCATTATACCTATTTTTTGGCCACCTCGCAGAGATGACGTCATTCCGCGGAGGTCCGCGGAATGCATGTCTATAGCTGGAAATTTTTCTTTTTGTGACTAAATTTTTGAATTTCCCTCTTTTTTTGTCTATACCCGGTATTTTCTCATTAAAAAAACATCATTACATGGATCATGTTTTGTTTTAACATTTCTAATTAGAAAAGCACAATTTTCAAAAAGTCCTCAATAAACTTTTCACAATATAATCATTTTATGTGTATTGTTTCAACGGTCTATATAATTTGTCAGGACTAATATTCAGGATTCAAATATTCTTAAATGCTAAAGATGAATATATATATATATATATATATATATATATATATATATATATATATATTGTTATCATAAGTTTTTTATTTTAATATAAATATATATACAATATATAATATAAAAAATTTCAGCCTAAAAAAAAAACTAAGCCCTATGTATTTGTTATCATTAAACCACTTGAATAATGGTCTATTGGTAAAATACTCTGGAAAATGTGAACGATATTCCATTTATCCGAGTTTTAATTAGGTTGTATGTTGTTCTTATGAGCAGGGTCAGTCCATTGATTTTCAATGCCCGGGGCGAGATTCTAAATTAATGCCTTTATTTATTAAAAAAAATAGCAAAATTGAAAAAATTTTGTACTTAAACCAAAACAAGGTTATACAAACAAAAACATACATAAAACTCATCCAAAACAATGTCTCCTTGCATTTGCTCAAATACACTTCTCAATTGAGTTAGAGCAATATCTACTATAACAATAAAATGATCAATTCTAAAATTTTTCTTAAGATGATTGTTGTTCTTTTTTGGTATTTGGAATTGAACTTCATCAAATTGTTTTTTTCCTACTATAAACACGTTTGACATGAAATTTTGGTTCAACTCCAATATTTTCTGCGATCCGTATATACACAACTTGAAGTTAACAATTCGTATCCACAACCTAATAAAAAAAATAATATCTTTTAGATTTTCAAAAATTAAATTGTCAGCATGTTATTCAAAAATAAAAAAAACACATCACTTTTTCAACATCATAATCTACATATCAAAACATAACCTCATGAGCATGAAAATTCGTGACTCCAAGTTATGATACATAACCTCATGTATACACGGAGATTAATCGTAATACATGTATGTTGGCCCAAACAGAGAGACATTTTTTTCGGAAAAAGATATTAATCATCCCTAATAAATCAAAATCTTTTTGTCACATATTTTCTTCTCATTAATTTGGACACATGATATTTTCCAGATTTTTTGAATTTTCTATTTTCTATTTGTCATTTTATTAAATTAAAATTCCACATTTAATATATATATATATATATATATATATATATATATATATATATATATATATATATAAGTTATTTATTAGAAAAGTTTATATATGCAATGTATTCAATGTATTAAAACCTCATTAATTTTAATAATCCAAAATTTTTCTCAATTTTCTTATAAATTCAAATTTCTTAAATTGTTAAAATATCATATTATTTTTTTTAAAAGAGCTCCCGTGTTTCAAGTACCAACACGATCTGGTTAGGAATGTTATGTTTGACATATTTAGACGCGCACGGGTTTCTGCCAAGAAAGAGACACCTGTGAACTTTCTGACTGACCCATTAAAAGGAAGATCAACACTTAGACCAGCTGATGTTTTAGTATTTGGATGGGCTGGAGGAAAACATGCATACGTGGATCTAACAGTGGTCTCCCCTTTTTGTGGGCTTGGGGAGTTGAGTTTTCACAGTGGGGCAAGCTGCTTTAAAAACTGCATCAAGTAAAGTGGCAAAATATGAGAAAACGTACATGGAAAATCAACACACGTTTATACCTTTTGCATCTGATACTTTCGGTTTTCTTGCGCCAGAAGCTGTAGAGCTACTCAATAGAGTCTAACGGGTCATGCATTGTAATGTTATGACTCCAAGATCTATAGATTTTGTTTTTAAAAGTATTAATTTTGTCATCTAAAAAGGAATTGCGGTATACTTGTTGCTCGTTTACCCGCTACGCCTATGTAATTTTCAAGTTGTAATCAAAATCAGTACTCTAAAAATACAAATAATAGTAACAGTAAGAACGTGGCATCCTTATCCATTAATTGGCACACGCCAAACTCCAACAAGAAAAACTCCATTGGTTCGTCCCCACCATCCCATGGCTTTTCCATAAATATAATCGATCAAAGATTGTATTATATATTTATATATTGTTGGTGGTAACGAATTAAAAGAGTGGTTAGTAAGTCGTTTATTTAATTATATATAGTACTTCTGTAATTTGAACCTCGTTGGTGATCATAATTTGACTCTAATGGGATCATATTTAAAATAAAACCATGAAGACTAAAGCAAACGAGAATAAAAAAAAATTATGCCAAATAAATGGAACGTATGAGTCAAGTAATATGTTGAATTGGGTTCGGATCAAACCCAATCGTTTTTCGTAAGGGTCCAATTAATTACATAAACGAAATATAATTATATAATACATGTATATAATATTTGGAATAAACTAATCCAAGAGTTTGGATGCATAAAGTTATGTTCTAGTGTCTTTGATATATTTATTTTATAATTTTCCATATTACATATTTGAATAATAAAAGTTGATTCAAAACGACTCTTTAATAAATACACTAGTCGACATTATCTTCGCCACAATGTACTAAACTATGTAATTAAGTTGTTCTCAGCCTGGGTCCAAAGTCTATGCTAATTATATACCACATCATATAAAATTACTAGTCATTTATGAATATTTTAAGCTATAAAGTATGGTACCATATATTATCTCACCTTTTAAATGCCCACTAGCTCCATATTATTTCTCTAGTCTCTTTTTGCTTCTTCTCATCTAAGAAATTGTCTCTCTTAAGGTCTCTTAAGGTCAAGAGAGTCCATATTTTCCATCATTCATAACTTAGGTGCTGTTTGTTTTTCGGAAAAAACCTCTTCAAACCTCTTACTGCTGCGCGGCGCAGCACACGCGCAACACTTTTCATTTCGCAGCTGTTTGTTTTTTAGAAGTCTTCTGAGTCAAAAACCTCTGCGCGTGCTCTGTTTGGCGCAACACTTGTACTGCCTCTTCCAACCTCTTCTTCTTCTTATTTTATTGCTGAAATTTTGATTATATGTTATTAAAATTTTATTTCATATTTTTTCCTTTTTTTTTTTTTTCCGTTTATTCTTATTGAATTTAATTTTCATTTTTATTATATTCAATAATAATAATTTCTTGATAAAATATCATTATTTTTTACTGAAAATATCTTTATTTTTTATTGAAATATCATTTTTTTTACTGAAATATCATTAATTTTTACCGAAATGTTATACATTATTAAATTTTACGTATTAAAAAGCTATTTTCGGTTTATAAAATTAGTTTATTTTAATTTTTTAATATCTGCAGCAGTATGCGGATGTTAAAAAAACAAACACGCTTTTTATTATAGTCTGCAACCGTTTGGTCCACCTCTTCTACTGTAGAGGGTTGCAGAGGTGGTCCGCAGACTTCATGAATTTTTACTTCAAAAAATCAAACAACACCTTACTGTCATATCAGTTTTTATGTTTTTTTTATCAGTTCTACTTCTCTCATCCTACAACACATGTACTTTCATTTTGTTTGCCATATATTGTCGAGTATCAGCTTCTACTTGTCAAATTTTGTTTTCATCTTAGCGACATATCATACTTTCTTCGTATTTTAAAATCATATTATGAATTGATGCTGACATACACTACAATAACTCTTCCGCACATGTACAACTATAATCGCTAAGAATATCTTTGAGACTTTCTACTCATCCGAACTCTTCTGAACCATTCCAAACTGTTACAAAGCTTCAAAATACTTTGGACTGCTTTTGTACTAAACACACTTCGCCATTAAACTCCACATCTCGACATTAGCTATATTGCTTCAATTTGAATAGATATTGACGGAAGCTATATTACTTGCAAATTATAAATAATTCTAGCAAATTAGAGACTTGATGGAAGTTTTATTACTTGCACGTTAATTTGACTTGTTATATAGTAATAAAAACCAATATAAAACATGGTCTTTTGTTAAAAGATTGTCTTTTTGTTGTTTTAAATCACAAACAATATTAGAATAAACAGAAACATATTTCAAATAGCAAGATTAAAGTAAATATGCAAATAGTTTCTATCAATGATTAGTTTTATTTATTATGTCTAAGATTGAACTCATGATCTTTTGTTAGAGACATCTTGTTATGCATCATATTAACCAAGTAAGTTAGTCCAACTTATAGTAAATTAATATAAAAAAACGTCCGTATAGGTGAAGAGATAAGATTTCGAAACTAATATTTAACAATTTAAATTATAAATGAAAAATAAAATGAAAAGTTTGATTGTTAAAAATATAAATTGATGTTTTTATCTATAATTAAATTCCACAGTGTATTATAATTTCCAGATATTTACACTATAATTAAATAACATGTTTATCCTTGTTTTTGCAATAAATTCAAAAAATATTATATAGTTGGAGATGGTGGAGTCCTTGAATGGGATCCATGCATTTTCTTTGACTTTATGAGTACGAATATGAGTGACATTTGCAGCTTGTATGTTTTTTTCCTTGCAACTTGCAATCTTTTATTATATACATTTATTACGTTTTACGACGTCGGTACCTTTTTATACTTTATTTTGTTTTTAACATATTCAACAAAGTTCTTTGTCTTAAAATATACAACGATTTCTGTTTTATTTTTGTGTATCTAAATCTATGCATACATACTTTATCAATTAATTTGAGATGTTATTCGTAATATTTAACTAAAATAATATAAGTATTTGTTATATATAATCA